ACCAGTACAATACCTGGTAAGTTGTGTGCCAGTACAATACCTGGTAAGTTATGTGCCAGTACAACACCTGGTACGTTATGTGCCAGTACAACACCTGGTACGTTATGTGCCAATACAGCACCTGGTAAGTTATGTACCAATACAGCACTTGGTTATATACCAACAAAATACAACTTACTGACCCAAAATGAGTGATTGTAGTGACACAATGAATGGAGCCTATTTTATTTTGAAGGTTTTGGAGGTTGTAGTATTTCCCAGGGGACGTGACCAGAATGTATCAACATCAATTGTGACATTTATGCAAATATATTTTCACACACACCTGAACCTAAAGGCATTTCCCATTAGATATCTGAAAATAATCTAATCGAACACATCAGATTAGTATTTGTACTTACCAGGTATCTTCTGTGGCACCATCAGATTATAAAATTAATGGACATGTCAGATTTTGGGAAAGTTTTACTAGACATTTGATTTTGCTGTTTACACTGTTTTTGTCGGATAAGATTATTGTAACACTGAATACATTGTCACTTGTTATGGTTGATGCAAGCCATTAACTTAATTGAATCCCCTCTTTACAGCAAGATTGGCAACTTGGCTCTAGTAGTTTATCCATAAATTGTAGGATGTTTTATCCATCAGATAATAAAGTTACAATTTCACATTATATCTGTATATTTTTAAATATACGGTTAAATTTTTATTCTTCAAAAATGCCTTCTTTTATATTTTCAGCAATGTTGAACTTCAATATGTTTGGTATACCATTGGTTGGAGCTGATATCTGTGGTTTCGGTGGTAACACAACTGAGCCACTTTGTCAGCGATGGCAGCAGTTAGGAGCATTTTATCCATTTGCTCGAAATCATGCCTCAATTGCCTCTATGGTAAATATGATCATTAATTTATTATTCACAATTTATTGGTAATCTGCCACTTTCTAATCTTTGTATTGAAGCAGGTGGGTAGTCACCTGCACACGTGCTTGAATTGAGTCCCAAGTGACAATAACAACACATGGGTAGATGCTTGTTTGTAAACAACGCCAGACTATGGACATCTGCTGCATTGTGTCCTGTTCGATATAGGACTCATAGTAACATATACAACATGTGTAAAATACATTGTTTACATGAAATTCGAACATGTGCTGTGCGACGACCAACGCCCTTTAATTTGGATAATGATGGTTTTGATAATATGGTTATAATTTTGGTGTTGCATCATAATAAAACTGACTACAACATTATAGTTGCTTACGCCTTACTTGATATATTTTTTTTCTGCAGCCTCAAGATCCTACTGTCTTTAGTAAAGCTATGCAAGATTCTACCAGAAAGGTTCTATTAACTCGTTATCGATTGCTACCCTATCTTTATACACTCTTCCATAGAGCTAATAGACATGGCAGTACAGTGGCCAGACCAGTATTCTTTGAGTAAGTAAATAAAATAATTAGCTCACACTATTGATGTGTATATACACTTCTTCCAAGAAAACAGTGAATTCAAAGTAAAAAATACCTTTTTGAAAACTTGCAGCAAAAGCAATATAATTCATCCATTTATAAAATGACGTACGGGCATGTTCGTAAGTGCTTCGGTCATGTTCAAATTTCTCCCTTATTTGGAGCATGTCTAGAATAGAATGCTACTGATGAACTCAAATGATCACACTTTCATAAATACTTTACCCTGACATTTGAGGTTTTTATGTCTTAAACCATTATGATTACAAGTAGGAAAAGATTACCGGGAGAATAACGTAAAGTATGCACAACGACTGCAGTACATGAATGCATCAACCTCAGCTATGTGTCAGCTGATACGATCATCATACTGGCTTTATGCATACTTTGCGGTATTCTCTTGATTACCTCATATTATTATACATCTGTCACCGTAACGCCATAAGTTACAGCGTGCTATAATTTTGCGATGAACTGGGTAATTTCATCCTACCATATTAGGAAATGTGAATTGCAAATATGGAACGATTACGTACGTCAGCGTCCAATAATAATAAAAACAATCGGATTCTATACAAAGTAGTTCGCTCAATCTGTGCTCTAAACATTTTGTATTTCGTCATTCCCATGATGTATCCTTGGGAGGAAAAGATGTATAATAATAAAGTTATTACAAGGATACTGAAAAGTATGCACTCAGACTGTACACAGTTGCATAGACTGCGCATCAATATATACTCCCGCTGTACTGTCATCATGCATACTTTCAGTATCCTCGTAATAACCTCATATTATTTCAGTATTTTAAATATACAGTTTTGCTTCAAACAAGATGTTTAAAACATCAGCCATCACTAAAATTTGCCTGGATTTTGTTAACCATGATTATTACAGTAAACTTCACGTACATCACCTGCATGGCTTGTCTATTGGAGCCGGAATATGGGCATTTATGCAGTTGCAATGAGAATATATGTCCTAGTAAACTCAGGCAAATGATTTTCTGTGGATGGGCACAAGCTTCCATATTTGATCAGTAATAATAGTATATTAGAAACGTAGTACGTCAATGTGTATTACATCCTACAAACTGAAAACCAAACTTCTCTGTATTGTCGCCATGTAGATATCCATCTGATGTGATGACATATGCTCTTGATACGCAATTCATGTGGGGTGAAGCATTGATGATTACACCAGTATTAAATGAAAATGCTACGTCAGTCACTGCCTACTTTCCACAGGATATCTGGTATGATTATTACACTGTAAGTATTAGGTTCACTAGTAGTGTTCTTTATGTAGGATGTACCATTTTCTGATGCATGTAGTATTTTGATCAAATATGTTGATCAATAAACAATTGTTGCCCAGTTTGAAATATTGGTTGTTTTCATTAAGCCAAGTATGCATATCAATTTTGAAACTTAACATATTAAAATGTAAACTTTTCGAAATGCAAAAGATTTTCCAAAATTATTCCATACAGTTATTGTAATCAATTAATTATAACACTTACAATGCAATATTTCAAAGTATATATAGAAAGTAATATGACCCATAGCAGTTTTTTTTTAGGTTCTTTGATTGATAAACATTTTTTGATCATGCATATGTTTCTATTTGTGAGTCCCAATTTATGCCAGCTAGAGTACAATTTACATCCTATTTCACATTTACTATACAATTCATTTTGCTTTTTAGGGTTCTGTCGTCAAATCTGGTTTACAAAAACTAGATGCTCCAATGGATACAATAAATTTACATGTTCGTGGAGGATACATCATACCAATGCAATACCCCGAAACAACCACAACCGAAAGTAGGAAAAATAAATTCTTATTGTTAGCAGCTTTGTCATTAACAGGGGAAGCTCATGGCATGTTGTTCTGGGATGATGGCGATAGCTTAGGTAAGAACATGACATAAGTTGTTTCGGGGCACTTTGAATTAAAATGGCATTGCAACCTTTTGAAACTTTGTTTTTTGGTATTTTATTTTCACTATATGTGACTGTCAATATGTTAAACACATTTAAAGGTGTTCTAAAATTATGAAAATATATTGATAAATTACTATTCAGATTTTATTCTCAAATTTTATGTTTATCATATAAAATATGAGTTAATTTTGGAGATAAAGATTAAGAGCTTAGTTTTAATAATAAATTAATATTTTATATTTATTTGAAATACTTATTTTGTTTATACATTTTTTTTACTTTCAAGATACTTTTCAAAATAAGGAATATGAAGCAATGAAATTCACTGCGAGTAACAACACTATTGTGTCCGAGATTGAAAATGATGGTTACCCTGGAGCAAGTACTATGATGTTGGGTCAAGCATTTGTGTATGGAGTCAAGAGTAAACCGAACCAAGTAATCGCCAATGGTGTTATAGTGCAGTATAGATATGATGTCATCAATAAGGTAAGCTATGCAGGAATTTGGGTCTTCAAAATATACCACTTTTTGTCACATGTGGTTTCTTTTGGGAGTTACTTATATAAAGTTACTCATTCATAAACACATTATTTCTGTGAATGGTATAGCCATGTTTTGCAAGTATTGTATGGTGCATTATACTTTGACTTGTACTAATGACACAAATTCGCTGAGTGATCAATATTAATGGCAACTTATTTGACCTATTCTGTAGGTTGATCTTTTACCAGATCCATTTGAGGCATTGACTTTTTAAGTAAAATAAATTGTGGAACCTGCATACACTTATTGTTAAACTTCAGGTTTATCAAATAACTTTGGAATTTATTTTAGATATTTTTGTCTGTTTGGGGCAGAAGTGCCATGGTAATACTGACCGAGGGTTAATGAGAATGAAATGGATTTCACTCTCAATATGAAGAGAATGTTTTGAAATGTTTGATAGGCCTTTTCCTATATACAATGTTGACTGCATTGACCGTCATTTTTCTTGTCTACCAGAACTGATATAATGAACTGATGTATTGATTGTTTCACATTTGTTTTATGTATTTGGATCTGTAAATTTCCATTTGATTATGGATTTGAATATTGTGTTGGTATGTTTTTATTTCTTGTACCCAAACAAAATTCATAATTTCCATGGAATTGTACATTCAAGAAAATGACTGACAAACAACCCACATGTACAAAACCTCCAACAACTATGAACATAAAAGCATATTATAAATTATAGTCAGTTTTTCCCACTATATATTTTCTTAAAGAAATGCATTATTCGTAATGTAATCCTGCAATGCTTAATCTTAACCTCATTTTTCGTATTTCTAATGTGTTATAAAACAGACTGACATTCAATGTTCTACTTTCAACAGTGTTTGAACATTTCGGGGATGGCACTACCAATGAATGCATCATTCAACATCGCATGGAGTCCCTGAAGATAGCATGACGTCATTTGAGCATTGCCAACATGGTTATATTATATGCATACTCAGCTATACAAAAGTTGTGAAATATATTTCAAAAGAAAAAAAAAAGTTGATATTGAAATGCTAATCTTGTACATGTACTCCAGTACTAATTTTACTACATAATGATTTGTATATTAATTCGCACAAATTAATTAATAGCTATTTTACTATTGTAATATTCATGACGTATTGATAAGATTAATTTTACAAATCATATTTGCATTTGTATCTTTATGCATTCCATGTACCATAATACTGAATATCTATTTTTTAACCACCAATTGTCAGAGGCTCTCGAATTTTATGCAGAAATAAAAATAGAAAGGTTTACATATGTTATGTGTGAGTCATCGGTTTGTTTACTGATTCAATGATTACAAAATAATTATTCATTCATTGATATATATTATCACACCTAGATGAAGAAAACACATAATAAATCAGCCTGAGATCATTTGGAATCGGATCAGATACACCAGCACTTGTGATCATTTAGAGTTGCTCTACTAAGAAATTGTAAAACGTAATTAGATTATATATAAATCGAGTTTAGTCTGTTATGTGCTGTTGTGTATTTTTATCAAAAATTCTAGGAGCTATAACACAAATTGGGGAAAATTGTATAAAACTTTTAACATGCTTAGTAGATACCCGAAAGCCTGAACACTATTCGAAATAGCAAGTATACACAAAACCGTATACAACAAGCATGTTTCATTACATGATTCAGTCATAACCAACAATTTCCTTTTGCATCTTATTTCCTGTGTCAGAAAATTGACTTGATATGCTGAATTAACTTTCTGGCCACCTAATATATATTTGCGAATATTGTAATGACGAGGAGACGGGGTTGTGTTATCATCATCTATTTATCATGACATATACTACCAGCCATGTACGTTTGAGTAGGTAACATGAAAACCTGTACCTATACATGGTGCTTCACGGTCATACCACCCCACCCCCCAATTGGTGGTCATAAGCTGTGAACTACTATTGATTGACAATAACAGTAATCACGCAGTTTGTATATTACCTATTCGTGCCGTTGACTGCCTATGCCACATACCATTTGGTCTGGATAGACATTTAATCTGCCTATAATGCATTCCACAACCAAGCAGGTCGGGGTAAGGCAGCACGATGATGACAGCCTACTTGATGTCATTGATAGCAGATACACATTCCCCTTGCTACTACTGAATATGGCTTAATTATTTGCTCGTATCTACATACGCGATATTAAACCCCTGTTGATATACGATATGTTATTTCCTTTACAAAATAGTGATTTGAAAACCCAGTGAATATCTCTGCAACGTCAAATCAGAGTATAACAATTACAGTTACTGTTGCATGTTCAGCTCAAACGCCTTCTATGCAGTATTCCTGTACTACTTTGGTTCCTGACGGGATTCATGACAGTTTGATGGTATTCCAAATATAAAACAATAGGGCTGGAATGAGTGTGGACTAGAGGCGTAATTTAGTGTAGGCTATCCTTAAGATCCAAATTTGTTTCAATTCAAGCCAATACAAGACACGGCTCCATCCAATGATTCACTTGCTAAATTAAATAACACAAGACATTTACGTTTTTAATTAATACAGTGTATCTTTTCACTCTTTATATTTATTCTTAGTAATATTAAATTTACTGTGCCAAATTGGATATAGTAAGTAGGTTACGATCCCATATAATTTACTTAACCTCAATGACGCAAGCTATGTTATTATTTTGTTTGACCGCCTAAAGCATTGCTGACTGAAAAGTGCCAGTCTTCTTCTCCAAAAACTAGGACACTTCTGGGGTCATAGACGTAACCTCTCCACACACAAACAATAACGCACCCGTTAGTGTATTACATGTACTTGTCGAATAACATTTAGCCAGGCTGTACATGTGCATCCTTGTAAAATCTTCATCTATTTATTATGTTGGCAAAGTGTGAACAAATGAATGAATGCATAAATGAGAGAATGGCCCACAAGTGATTCCAAGGCAATTTATACCTTGATTTTATTTTATTACGACGCACAATCATTAATAATTATCTGCACATTCAAACATTGTGTAATTCCACATAATTGGTATCTATAATTGGTAATCCATCACTTTAATGAAAAATATCTATATGTGTCAGAATTTTATTTTTGAAGAAGACTAGTAGTGTTGAGATTAAAGGTATGCACGTGCACGTGAACTGGAAGAGTAATAATTGTAGAACCAAATGAATGATTATGCTATGTAAACGATTTTAACTGTAACATGGTTTGAAGCATGTATATGGAAAATCACATTTGAATTTGCCGCCCGGTATGTGACTGGTTGTTATGGTAAACATCAATGAGTAGATAGCTAAGGTTGTAAATTTACAGTGTGTACAGGGCACTGTTATACTAAAAAAGAACATATTGTATAGCGGCCAAGGCTGTGAATTTACAGCGTGGCTCAAGTACTGTAAGTTATACAAAGGGACGTGAACGCATGGAATGTTAAGGCTGTAAACATACATTGTGCGGCTGGTACTGTTATACAATGGCATAAAAACAAAGCATACTCTCGTTTTGGTGCATTATTTTAAAACCAGAAAGTGTTTTCATTTGTTTCGATCGTCAATATCTCATCCATATTTCCTGTCTCAAATAAAAGAATTACGTGTTCTTGGCAAAGTATAAATATAAAACGTACATATTGACAAGGGCCTCGGATTGTTGGAAACTATAATTACAACTGGTTATGTCTATGCTCTAATTCTATCATACACTTTGTGAAATTTAATTTCTTCATATCCTAAACATTTATTCTTCATTTTCATCAAACATTAATTATGCTCATTGTAAACGTTACCAAAATAAAAAATATCATCATACCTCAAAAAATAATGAATAATATTTTTTTCACACACACTGAATGTAATTTTCATACCTTCTGCAAAATGTATTCAGCAATTATAGGGACCTATCTTTATATAGAATGATATGCAATGAGGAAATCCTCAATGAACCTTATATCGAGGTGAGAGGTGACATTTTAAATTATACCGTCTTCAACGCGCCAGGGTAAGGTCTCTAAAGATTCTTCCTCGCCAAGTACTAAAACCACTCACGTTCAAACGATCGAGACTTCAATACTAAACATGCTTGCTGGCGTGTATTGAATACTGGAGTTTTAAATTGTATGTTCTCGGTATTACAAATCCTATTTGTATCGCTAAAGCCATAAATATACTGTTATAGTCACAGCAATCGTGTATTGTAGGACTAGATCATAAAACATTCACGACTCGGTAACACAATTACTCTGCTTTTCACAATGTGGATTACTATTATATTTCAAATAACCTGAGGCCATGTACATCCGGGTATTTAAATATATATATATATATATATATATATATATATATATATATATATATATATTCATTCGTGTGGGTCATTGATTGAATCGTTCAAATTATCAATTAATATGTAGATTGCTTGACTAATATGGGCAAGTCGATTTCCAAAGGTTTATCTTCACATATATTCTATTGATCCGTCGTGTCAAGGTGCATGCGTTTAATATACGTACGATAATATAATGGAACAGGATTAATTTGCAAGCCAAACTGCTCGTTTTTTTCTTCTCCGTCTATTAAATCTCAGCCTCTGCTTCTATTTCTTTCAAAGCGACGTATATATACGTGTACAGAGAATCCGAACGTTTGGTCTGTTAATATGAATTATATATGGGAATGATCCTGCGCATTTTATGTCACATTATAAAATTATAATAATAATTAAGTATTAAGATCTTTGACCATTTTACAGAAGATTGATACAAAGAAAATGCTACAATATGAAATGTATAAACATTATAAACTGTATTTTGTGAGCTCGTTATAAAAATAAACTTTCGACATTGGCTCATGATAAAACGTCACTCCAAGTGTAGAGGGAGAGAACAAAAACATGTCTTTTTTATTACAGTTAAGTTGTTTTTTAGGCAAAATGTAAATAATGTATTATTCATGTCTGTCCCATCTCATTTGAAATTGAAAGACTGTTACTAGTTCTAGTTAGTTACTTCGATTTATATTAAGTAAAATGTGTTTTTTTTTATTCACGCCACTGAGTCATTGTTGTTTCTAAATACAAACTGAGGAATATCTTCAAGCCCTCGGCAAAACCAAATGAGAACAAAATGTGCCTCATATGTAATTCTCGTTGTTTAAACCTTGGCATTTGTAAACAGAAATTGCTCGTAGTTCCTTAATAAAATGCTACCTTGTTCGAT